CTGGTGCAATCACCCTATCTGAGGAGGTCAGGCCTGCGTGAGGTAGTAGACCGGCACAGGGAAAACACCTTCCGGATGGAGGTGGACAACCCCATCGTGAATGCGGACATGAACTCCCCGGAGGACCTGAAGGAGGCGGAGCGGTTGTTTGAGGCGCTGTAAGGCGGAGGAGATTTTGGATTTCTGGCATCCACACCCCGCCCCCCCTGGATTCCCGCTCATAGGCGGGAATGACGATGAAACTAGCTACTTGAACTCAGTCATTTCCGCGGAAGCAGGAATCTGGCTAACTATGAACGTCGTTCATAGCCATGCCCGTGTAGACGGGCATCCAGATGTGGCCAGGGAGAACCCCTAGATGACCTCCTCCTCTCGCAGAGAGGCGATCTCCTGCTCCTGCATTCCCAGCAGGTCCCGTAGCAGGTCATCGGTGTGCTCGCCCAGGTCAGGCGACGACGAGTCGTTTCCGGTGGGAGTGCGTGAGAGCTTCACGGGGGTGTTGACCGCCCTGACCTTTCCCAGACGGCTATGGTTGTACTCCTTTATCATCCCTCGGTGATTCACCTGCGGGTCCTGGGCACCTTGTCTATGGTGTTGACCGGCCCGCACGCGATCCCCAGCGCCTCCAGCGCCTCCAGCCATTCCTGGGAGGTCTTCTTCATCAGGGCCTCCGAGCAGTATGGGCTCCAGCTCGTGGTGGTTCTGGCTCCTGGTCCAGCCGGTGTCGAAGCGGGGGTCGTCTATGAGGTCAATCCGGTCTATTGCGGAGCACAGCAGGGGCCACCGCTCCTTTCGACCTTCTATCAGGGCGATGGTTATGTAGCCGTCCGAGGTCTGGAAGACCTGGAATGGAGCCGTGACCGGATGCCTTGTGCCCAGGGGCGTGGGCACCTCCCCGGTCGCAAAGTACCTGGCAAAGGCGTTCTCCTGGATGGTCACCTGGCAGTCCAGCATCCCGATGTCCACCATCTGCCCCAGCCCGCTCCTGGTCCGCTCCTGTAGAGCCGACAGGATGCCGATTACGGCGAATAGGCCGGCGGTGATGTCGCCCTGAGAGACGCCGGGACGAATGGGCGGGCCGCCAGGCTCGCCCGTGATGCTCAGTATGCCCCCCATGCCCTGAACGACCACGTCCAGAGCGGGCTTGGACGAGTACGGCCCGTCCTGCCCGAAGCCGGAAATGGCGGCGTAGATTATCGCCGGGTTGCGGTCTCGCAGGACGTGATAGTCCAGGCCAAGCCTTTGCATTGTCCCCGGAGCGAAGTTCTCCAGGATAACGTCCGAATTGTCGACCAGTTGCAGAAAGAGATCCTTACCCTTGGGCTTGGACAGGTCTACGGAGAAGCCGAGCTTGCCGCGGTTGACGCTCATAAAGTAGGTGCTCTCGCCGTCGATGAAGGGGCCGCTGGAGCGGGAGCGGTCCCCGATTTCCGGCTGCTCCACCTTGACCACCTCGGCGCCCAGGTCGGCCAGGATCATGGCGGCAAAGGGGCCGGCCAGAACGTGAGTCAGGTCCAATACCCTGGTTCCCTCCAATGATCCTGGCATAATCCCTCCCTTTCGATTCTGACTCGGTTGGTATTTTTCTTCCTACAGCTTGCGCAGGCCGATGGTGTTCCCCGCGGGGTCTATGAAGACGGCGATATGTCCCTCACCTCCCTGAATCGGCATAGGCATTGGCGGGACCATCGTCTTGCCGCCCAGGCTCTCGGTCTTTCTCAGAATCTGACTGCATTATCGCACTGGACATCAAGGACTTCAACGAACCGACCGGCGGTGTACAGACCATAGGCGCATCGCGCGTTGCGATTTAATTGTTGCCCTCAATTCTCTGTTGACAAACAGTCGACAGGCCTATATATTTCTTATTTGGCACATCGCTTTCAATTTATGAGTTCATGGTGCTGGCGCCAAGGAGTGCGTAGATATGCCTACGGTTAATCAACTGGTAAGAAAGCCCAGGGTCAAGGTCGTGAAGAAGACCAAAGCCCCGGCTTTGCGGTATGGCTTCAACTCGTGAAGAATCGCGTGAAGCGGACCACCGGCTCCCCGCAAAAGAGGGGCGTCTGTGTCCAGGTGCGCACCGTCACTCCCAAGAAACCGAACTCCGCCTTGAGGAAGGTTGCCCGCGTGCGCCTGGCCAACGGGATGGAAGTTACGGCGTACATCCCCGGAGAGGGACACACCCTTCAGGAGCACTCCGTTGTCCTCATAAGAGGCGGCAGGGTAAAGGACCTACCTGGGGTCAGGTATCACATTGTCAGAGGCGCTTTGGACTGTACCGGAGTGGTTAATCGGAAGCGTGGGCGGAGCAAGTACGGCACCAAAGCAGCCGCGGTGCCGGGGAGGTAGGCGAATCATGGCTCGCCGAAGACGCGCAGCAAAGCGGGAGATAACGCCCGACCCTAAGTACAACAGCGTGTACTTGGCCAGCTTTATCAACAGGGTGATGACCCGGGGCAAGAAGACGACCGCCCAGCGCATCGTGTACGAGGCCCTGGACATAGTTGAGAAGGAAGGCTCCCGGGATTCGATGGAGACCTTCAATCAGGCGATGAGAAATGCCACCCCGCTGCTGGAGGTAAAACCCCGGCGTGTGGGCGGCGCCACCTATCAAGTGCCGATCGAGGTGAGGAGCAGCCGGCAAATGGCTCTGGCTATGCGTTGGATCCTCAGGGCAAGCCGCGCACGGACGGGGCGTCCCATGGCGGAGAGGCTTGCGCAGGAGTTGCTGGAGGCCTCCAGAGGGCAGGGTGCGGCAGTTAGAAGGAGGGAGGAGCTCCACCGTATGGCCGAGGCCAACAGGGCCTTTGTGCATATCGGTGGTGAGGACGCTCTCTTAGGTAATCGACGGGCCTTCAGGGACGGAGGAATTTCCCTTTGGACAATATACGAAATATAGGCTTTATCGCTCACATTGACGCTGGCAAGACCACCGTCACGGAGCGCGTGTTGTTCTTTTCCGGGCGTACCCACAAGATAGGTCAAGTGGACGACGGCACAACCGTGATGGACTGGATGGCCCAGGAGAGGGAGCGAGGCATCACTATCACGTCTGCGGCCACCACCTGCGAGTGGAAGGACTACCGCATAAACATCATCGACACGCCGGGACACGTTGACTTCACCGCTGAGGTGGAGAGGAGCCTTCGAGTCCTGGACGGCGGCGTGGTGGTCTTCGACGCGGTGGCCGGCGTCCAACCCCAGTCGGAGACGGTGTGGCGTCAGGCTGACAGATACCGCGTGCCAAGGATCTGCTTCATCAACAAGATGGACAGGACTGGGGCGGACTTCCAGCGTACGATTGATATGATTGCGCATCGTTTCAGGGCAACCCTGTGGCGGTGCAGCTTCCCATGGGCGAGGAGAGTGAGTTCCGGGGAGTGATAGACCTGCTGGAGCAGACCGCTATGCTGTTTACGGAGGACGGGGACTACACCCCGCAGGAGGGGCCGATTCCGGCTGAGATGCTGGGAGACGCCCGGGACTTCCGGGAGCGGCTGGTTGAGAAGGTGGTTGAGACCGACGATACTCTGATGGGAAAGTACTTGGATGAGGAGCCCATCTCCACGCAGGAGATAAGGGACGCCCTGAGAAGGGCCACCATTAAGATGCTCTCGTCCCCGTGCTGTGTGGCAGCGCCCTCCGAAACAAGGGTGTTCAGCTTCTACTGGACGCCATCGGTCACTACCTGCCGTCGCCGTTGGACGTGCCTCCCGTGATGGGACTACATCCAAAGACGGAAGGAGAGGTGCTGATGGAGGCCAGTGAGGACGCGCCTTTCTCCGCCCTCGCCTTCAAAGTTGTGGCGGACCCCTTTGTGGGCCGGCTGGTGTACTTCAGGGTGTACTCAGGTCAGGTGAAAGCGGGCACGTCGGTGTACAATTCCACCAAGGGCATACGCGAACGCATGGGACGCGTGCTCAGTATGCACGCCAACCGGCGGGAGGAGACGGAAGTCACCTATGCCGGGAGCATCGCCGCCGCCGTGGGTCTGAAGAACACCTTTACCGGCGACACCATATGCTACGAGAACTCTCCGGTAATCCTGGAGACCATACGCTTCCCCGACCCGGTGGTATCCGTAGCCATTGAGCCAAAGACCAGGACCGACCAGGATAGACTGGTGGACTCCCTGGTCAAGCTGGCCGAGGAAGACCCCACGTTCAAGGTCAAAGTTGACGATGAGACCGGCCAGACCATCATGTCCGGCATGGGCGAGCTGCATCTGGAGGTTCTGGTAGACCGCTTGAAGAGGGAGTTCCAGGTGGCCGCCAATATAGGACGGCCCAAGGTATCCTATCGAGAGACCCTGACCGGCTCTTCGAGGGCCGAAGGCAGGTTTGTGCGCCAGACAGGAGGCCACGGTCAATACGGCCACGTGTGGCTTGAGCTCCAGCCAATGGAGAGGAACAGCGGTTTCAAGTTCGAAAACAAGGTGGTGGGAGGGACTATTCCCCGCGAGTACGTCCCAGCGGTGGAGAAGGGTGTAAAGGAGGCGCTGGAGACCGGCGTTCTGGCCGGCTATCCGGTGATAGACGTAAAGGCGACCCTTGTTGATGGCAGCTTCCATCCCGTGGACTCGTCTGAGATTGCTTTCAAAATGGCAGGCTCTATTGCCACCAAAGAAGGTGTGAAGAGAGCGAAGCCTGTGATTCTGGAGCCTATTCTGGACGTGGAGGTCGTCACCCCGGGAGATTTCCTGGGAGAGGTCCTCGGCGATCTGGGAGGTCGGCGCGCCCGCATCCGCAGTATCGAAGGGCAGGGGTCGGTGCAGGCCGTTCGCGCTCTGGTGCCGCTGGCGGAGACCTTCGGGTATACCACTGACCTGCGATCTATTACCCAGGGAAGGGGCAAGCCAGTCAATGGAGTTCAGCCACTACGAAGAGGTGCCGCAGGGTGTGGCACATGAACTGGCAAAGGTGTAGTGAAATAATGCCTCAGCAGAAGATTCGCATAGTGCTAAAGGCTTTCGACCACAAGATTCTGGACGTCTCCGCCACTCAGATAGTGGAGGCAGCAGAGCGGACGGGGGCCGGCGTGGCCGGGCCCGTGCCGCTGCCCACATCTATCAAGAGGTTCTGTGTCATTCGCTCCCCTCACGTGGACAAGGACTCCCGGGAGCACTTCGAGCTTCGCTCGCACAAGCGCCTCATCGATATCCTAGACCCAAGCTCAAAGACAATCGACGCGCTTACTCGGCTGAATGTGCCGGCAGGCGTGGACATCTCCATAAAGCTGTAGGAAGAAGGAAGTCTCTTGAAGGGCATATTAGGCAGAAAGAAGGGTATGACCCGCGTCTTCTCGGAGGGCGGAGTTGTGGAGCCTGTGAGCGTCATCGAGGCTGGTCCCTGCATAGTTACGCAGGTGAAGACCAGTCAGGCCAACGGCTACGAGGCGGTGCAGGTGGGCTACGAGGCGGCCAAGAAAGCTCAACGAGCCTGAAGTGGGTCACCTCAAGAGGCTGCCGCCCCTTCGCCACCTGAAGGAGTTCAGAGTGGACGACCTGGGCGATGCTCAGATAGGGCAGAGGATAGACGTAAGTATGTTCGAAGCCGGGGATATAGTGAACATCAGCGGGGTATCCAAAGGAAAAGGATTCGCCGGTGGTATGAAGCGGCACAACTTCAAGGGCGGTCCCAAGACCCACGGGCAGTCGGACCGGGCGAGGGCGCCGGGTTCGGTGGGCGCGGGCACAACTCCAGGCAGAGTGTGGAAGGGCACCAAGATGGCCGGGCATATGGGTAACAAGAAGGTCACTGCTCTCAATCTGAAGGTGGTGAAGGTGGACCTGGAGCGGAATCTGCTGCTGGTGAGGGGCGCCGTGCCCGGCGCAAGGAACGGTATGCTGGTGATTAAACCGGCCAAGCGGGGGGACAGATAATGCAGCTTCCTCTGATGAACTCCTCCGGGCAGAGCGTCGGGACAATCGAGGTAAATGACGGCCTGTTCGACGTTCCAATGAACCAGGCCTTGGTGCATCAGGTGGCCGTGGCCCACAGGGCCAACGCGCGCCAGGGCACGTCTGCCACCAAGACCAGAGGTATGGTGTCCGGCGGAGGCGCGAAGCCGTGGCGGCAGAAGCACACCGGCCGCGCCCGCCAGGGTAGCCGTCGTGCGCCCCAGTGGAGAGGCGGCGGCATAGTCTTCGGCCCGCAGCCGCGGGACTATTCCCAGCGCATCCCCAAGAAGATGAACCGCGGGGCCATTCGCTGCCTTCTGTCCCAGAAGGTGCGGGAAGAGAAGCTGACGGTGCTGGAAGGGCTTGAGTTTGAACAGCCCAAGACCAAGGAGATGGTGGCAGTCCTGGCCAACTTGGGTATAGCAACTCCGGTTCTGGTCGTGACTCCCGTGCCACAGACTGATATAATACTCTCCGCTCGCAACCTCCCTCGTGTAAAAACCCTGCCCGTGTTCCAGCTGAACCCCTGGACCTGCTGAATCACGATCGCGCAGTTGTGACGCTGCAGGCGATCGGCGAGCCGAGGAAATGTGGGCTGCGGACAGCGCCAAAGTGGAGGCGGACGACCAAAGCCCTGAGGAGAGCCAGGAAGAAGCGTAATGCACACCTTTGAAGTACTGAGAAGGCCGTTGATAACGGAGAAGAGCACCATTCTACAGGATGCTCAGAACAAGTACGCTTTTGAGGTCGACACTCGGGCCAACAAGGTCCAGGTAAAGTCGGCTGTGGAAGAGGCCTTCAATGTCAAGGTTACGGACGTGAACATAGCCACCATCAAGGGCAAGAGGAAGAGATTCGGCCCCAAATTGGTGAAGCGACCCTCCTGGAAGAAGGCCGTGGTGAGCCTGAGGCCGGGGGACAGAATCCAGATATTCGAGGGGGCTTAGGTGCCGCTTAGAAGTGTAAACCCCACATCTCCCGGGAGGCGCGGTGTAGTCCTTCCCTCCTTTGAGGAGATAACCAAGAAGAAGCCTGAAAAGTCGCTGCTGGCGCCTCTGAAGAAGCATGCCGGGAGAAACTCCCAGGGTCGACTGACCGTGCGCCATCGCGGGGGTGGCTCCAAGCGAAGGCTGCGTATCATCGACTTCAAGCGGGACAAGGTCGGAGTTCCGGGCAAGGTGGTCTCCATAGAGTATGACCCGAACCGCTCCGCCCGAATTGCCCTCATCCAGTACGTCGACGGGGACAAGCGGTACAATCTGGCTCCCAACGGTCTGACTGTGGGAGCGAAAGTGGAGGCGGGCCCCAATGCAGAGGTCAAAGTGGGCAACGCCCTCCCTCTGAGGCTCATACCGTCGGGGAACACCGTCCACAACGTGGAGATGCACCCCGGCCGAGGCGGGCAGCTTGTGAGGGGAGCCGGGACGTCGGCCCAGGTGCTAGCCAGGGAGGAGGAGGGCTACGTCTTGCTGCGTATGCCGTCCGGGGAGGTGCGCCGCATCAATGCAAGCTGTATGGCCACCATTGGACAGGTGGGCAACGCAGACCACAAGAACATCAAGCTAGGCAAAGCCGGCAGGACGCGCCACTTGGGTCGCAGACCCCAGGTGCGTGGCTCTGCAATGAGCCCACGGGATCATCCGCACGGCGGTGGCGAAGGTCGCTCCGGCATTGGAATGCCCGGGCCAAAGACCCCTTGGGGTAAGCCGGCCCTGGGCTACAGGACCCGCAGGCGCAAGGGCGTAAGCGGAATGATAGTAAGGCGCAGGAGCAAGGGCGGCAGGCGATAGTGGCAATGGTAATGGAAGGAAAGGAATAAGGGATGTCCAGATCCATCAAAAAGGGGCCTTTTGTGCATCCCAAGCTGATGAAGAAGGTGGAGGTCCTGCAGAGGAGCGGGGTCAAGGCCGTAATCAAGACTTGGTCCCGAGCGTCAATGATCATGCCGGAGATGGTAGGACTGACCATTGCCGTGCATGACGGACGAAGGCACGTACCCATATTTGTTACCGAGAACATGGTGGGCCATCGCCTTGGAGAATTTGCCCCGACCCGGACCTTCCGGGGCCACTCCTCCAAGTCCGAGCGCACCACTCAGGTGAGGAACACCACTCCGGTGAGGAGATAGACAGGATGGCTGTGCGGGCTATGGTGAAAAACGTGAGCGTCTCGCCCAAGAAGATGCGTCGGGTGGTGGATACCGTCCGGGGCAAGAGGTGGAGGCTGCCCTCGAAATACTCAGTTTCCTGCCCACGCCGGCAGCTCGACATGTGGCAAAGGTGGTTAAGTCCGCCGCCAACAACGCCGAGAACAACAATATGATGGCCCAGGGAGACCTGAAGATAGTGTCTATCTACGCCGACCCGGGCGCTACGCTCAAGAGGTTCAGGCCCAGGTCTCGCGGCAGGGCCAGCCGTATACTGAAGCGCACATGTCATATCACCGTGGTTGTTGACGAGGAAGAGGAGGCTTAAATGGGCCAAAAGACTCATCCGATCGGGTTCCGTCTGGGTATAATCAAGGACTGGCAGGCCAAGTGGTACGCGGCCAAGGGATCTCAGTACCGCGAGCTTCTGCAAGAAGACCTCAGCATCAGAAACGCCATACGCGCCCGCCTGCCTGAAGCCGGCATCTCCAAGGTCGAGTTGGAGCGAGGCGCGCAGGAGCTGGTGGTTACCATACACTCGGCCAGACCCGGCATAGTCATTGGCCGGGGTGGGCAGAGAGTGGAAGAGGTGCGCCAGGTGGTGGAGGGGTTGACTCACAAGCGGGCCAGGCTCAACGTCCAGGAAGTGCGTCAGCCTGAACTCGACGCTCAGCTTGTAGCCGCAAGCATTGCGGAGCAGCTGGGGCGCAGGGTTGCCTTCCGACGAGCGATGCATCAGGCCGTCAACCGGGCCATGCAGGCCGGGGCGCTGGGTATGAAGGTTATCTGCTCAGGTCGGTTGGGTGGTGTCGAAATAGCCCGCCGGGAGAAGGTGATGCAGGGCCGTGTGCCGTTGCACACCCTGCGGGCGGATATAGACTACGGCCTGGCTGAGGCTCGGACCACGATGGGACGTATTGGAGTGAAGGTGTGGGTGTACAAAGGTGACATTCTGCCGGAGCCGAAGGAGATTGAGGCCGAGCCGGACGCGGAAGAGCTGCAGATGATAGAGGTAACCGTGGGAGGCGAGACGGAAGCCACAGAAGGATCCAGCGATGTTCCAACCCAAGAGAATTAAATATCGTAAAATGCACCGGGGGCGCCGACGCGGCACGGCCCAGACCGGCAACCAGGTGACGTTTGGCGACTACGGCCTGAAGGCCACGTCCAACGCCTGGGTTACGTCGAGACAGATTGAGGCTGCCCGGCGAGCCATAACGCGCCACTTCCGGCGCGGCGGGCAGGTGTGGATTCGTGTCTTTCCGGACAAGCCCATTACCTCCAAGCCGGCGGAGACCCGCATGGGCAGCGGCAAAGGTAATGTGGACTTCTGGGTCGCCGTGGTCAAGCCCGGCCGAGTGCTCTTTGAGGTGGCCGGAATAAGGCAGGAGATGGCTCAGGAGGCCCTCAGGCTGGCCTCACAGAAATTGTCGGTGAGCACAAGCTTCGTATCGAGGAACGATATGCAGCAGGCTTCGGAGTAGAGGGGACTCTTGGATATTATCGAAGTTAGAAACCTTACGGACGAGCAGCTTGGCTCGGAGTTGGACAGCTCCTACAGGGAGTTGATGAACCTCCGCTTTCGCCTGAGCACTCGTCAGATCGATAGTCCCAAGGAGCTGAAGAACGTTAAGAAGACGATAGCCCGCGTGAAGACGGTGATGCGTCAGAGGGGCATGAGGGAGAGATAGATGGACAGGGGGAGAAGGAAGACCCGAGTAGGACGCGTAGTAAGCGACAAGATGGACAAGACGGTGGTAGTGGCCGTGGAGTGGAGACAGGCCCACCCCCTCTACCGGAAGCAGGTTAAGAGGGTGACCAAGTTCCACGTCCACGACGAAGAGAACAAATCCAAGATAGGGGACTGGGTCAACATAATGGAGACGAGGCCGCTGTCCAAGACAAAGCGCTGGAGGGTCACCCAGGTGCTGTCCACCGGAGAGCCCGCTCCCACCGAAGAGGTGCTGGGCCTTTCCCCTGAGGAACTGGGACAGATTGATGACGAGGTTGAAGAGGCGACTGAGGACGGAGAGGAGCAAGAGTCATGATTCAGATGTACTCCAGGCTGACGGTCGCCGATAATTCGGGAGCCAAGGTCATCATGTGCATAAACGTCCCGGGCGGCACGCGCAGGCGCTACGCCAGCCTGGGACGACATAATTGTGGCGTCGGTGAAAGAGGCGGCGCCGGCCGCGGCCGTGAAGAAGGGGGAGGTGGTTAGGGCGGTCATAGTGAGGATCGCCGCTCCTCATCGCCGCCCCGACGGGTCCTACATTCGCTTTGATGAGAACGCCGCGGTGATCCTGACGGAAGCTCTGAACCCGCGCGGCACTCGCATCTTTGGGCCGGTGGCTCGCGAACTTAGGGAGAAGGCGTTTATGCGCATAGTCTCCCTGGCGCCGGAGGTGCTGTAGTGCGGATAAGGCAGGAGGACACCGTCCAGGTTATAGCCGGCAAGGATAAGGGCAAGCGCGGGAAGGTGCAGAGGGTGATGCGGAAAGAAGGCCTATTGTTTGTGGAGGGGACTAATGTCGTTAAAAAGCACGTTCGTCCTCGCCCTAACGTTAGGCAGGCCGGAATAGTGCAGATGGAGGCTCCCCTGCGAATGTCGAAAGTGATGCTGGTCTGCAACCACTGCGATAAGGCAGTGCGGGTGGGCCAAAGGTTTCTTGAAGATGGAAAAAAGGTTAGGGTGTGTAGGTCATGCCAGGAAGTGATAGATTAGAAGAAGATAAGGCCGAGGACGCTCAGGAGGCTCCGGCAACGGAGTCCGCCGAGGCGTCCCAGGAGCCGGCAGCGGAATCGGCCGAGAGCGCCGAAGCTCCTCCGGCCAGGCCGGCGAGGACAAGGCGTACCCGCGCCGCCTCGACGACCGAAACTACCGAGTCCTCAACCGAAGCGGCGCCGGCGGCTCCAAGGCCCAGGCGCACGAGTCGGCGGAGGCAGGAGGAAGAGGCTGAGCCGGAATCGACTCCGGCGGTCAAGAGGGTGCCGCGCCTGCTGGAGCAGTACCGCTCCCGCGTACGGGACACGTTGCGGGAGGAGTTCAGCTACAAGAACGTCATGCAGATACCTCACATTGAAAAGGTGGTCCTCAACATAGGTCTGGGGGAGGAGAAGCAGAACCCCAGGGCCTTGGAGAGCGCTACCCGTGACATTTCTCTAATCTCCGCCCAGAAACCGGTTACAACCCGAGCGAGGCGTTCCATAGCCGGGTTCAAGCTGAGACAGGGAGAGGCTATTGGGACGTCGGTGACCCTCCGAGGGCATCGCATGTATGACTTTATTGACAGGCTGTTCAATGCGGCCCTTCCTCGTATCAGGGACTTCCGGGGTGTGCCTCGCAGGGCCTTTGACGGCAGAGGCAACTACTCTCTGGGGATAAGAGAGCAGGTTATCTTCCCGGAGATAGACTACGGCCAGATAGACCGTATTCGAGGATTCCAGGTGTCATTTATAACTACGGCATCCACGGACCGGGAGGCCATGCGCCTTCTGGAGCTTATGGGGATGCCCTTTGCCAGAGATGGCTCTCAAGCCGGTGTGAACGGCAACGTTTAGATAGAAGGTAGGGGCATTTGGCTAAGACATCAAAGCTGGCTAAGTGGAAAAAACCTCAGAAGTACGCCGTGCGGCACCACAACCGATGTAACCAGTGCGGTCGACCTAGGGCGTACATAAGATATTTTGGGCTCTGCCGGATATGCTTCCGGACCCTGGCACTCAGGGGAGAGATAACAGGCATACGAAAGGCCAGTTGGTAGCTGCGATATGAGCGTTACAGATCCCATTGCCGATATGCTGACCAGGATAAGGAACGCCGTTGCTGTGCGCCACGACGCGGTTGTTATGCCAGGTTCAAACGCGAAGGTGGCCTTGGCGCGTATTATGAAGGATGAAGGCTTCATAGACGACTTTGAGGTGCTGCGCAGCGGCGTACGTCGCACGCTCAGGATACGTTTGAAGTACAGAGGCAAAGAGGAGCCGGCCATATCAGGGTTGAAGCGAGTGAGCAAGCCGGGGCTGAGGATCTATATTGGCAAGAAGGAGATACCGCGCATTTATGGCGGGATGGGCGTGGCCATTATATCCACATCACAAGGAGTAATGACCGGCTCGGACGCTTGGCGACGCGGTATAGGAGGGGAATACCTGTGTTATCTGTGGTGAGATATGTCCAGAGTAGGTAATAAGCCAATACCGGTTCCAACCGGAGTGGAGGTAGGAGTGGACGAAGGTACGGTTGTCGTGAAGGGCAGCCGTGGTACGCTAACCCAGTCCTTTAACCCGGACATCTCCATCTCCCAGGAGGGCGACTTCCTTCGCGTGGCGAGGCCGACCGACCAGAGGGAACACAGGGCCTTCCACGGCCTGACAAGAGCCCTTTTGTCCAACATGGTCATCGGCGTCAGCGAGGGATACCGGCGGACGCTGGAGCTGGTGGGCGCCGGATATCGAGTCCAGCAGTCGGGCGATAACGTGGTATTGCAGGTGGGCTACAGCCACCCTGTAGAGATCATTCCATTGCCTGGACTGACCCTCACAGTAGAGGGCAACAACCGCGTCCATGTTGAGGGCATCGACAAGCAGGCGGTGGCGAGATGGCGGCCCAGATAAGACGGGTGCGCCGCCCCAACGCATATACTGGCAAGGGCATAAGGTACGCCGGAGAGCGGGTGCGGGTCAAACCCGGCAAGGCGGCAGGGAGGAAGACGTAGTCATGGCCAAGAGTAAGAGTACACGGCTAATGCGTCTTGTCCGTCACGAAAGGATACGACAGAAGTTACGTGGCACGTCTAACAGGCCTAGATTGGCTCTTTTCAGGAGCCTGAACCACATCTACGTCCAGATAATCGACGACGAACGCGGGCATACACTGGTCGCGGCCTCCAGCCTCGACCCGGAGGTGAAGGCCAACGGAAACGGCGGCGGCAAGGGCAAGGTCTCCGGGGAGGTGGGCGCCCTCGTGGCCCGTCGAGCCAAGGAGAGCGGTATCAGCCGCGTTGTTTTCGATACTGGTGGATACAAATACCACGGACGGGTAAAGGCTCTGGCCGAAGCAGCCAGAGAGGGAGGATTGGACTTTTAATGGTCTATGGTTTCGATCAGCGAAATAGGGAGGACCAGTCCGATGGACAACTTACGGAAAGAGTCGTCAAGATACGCCGTGTGACCAAGGTGGTCAAGGGAGGAAGGCGACGCGGTTTTAGCGTCATGGTGGTAGTGGGAGATGGCGAAGGCCGCGTGGGCATTGGCTTGGGAAAGGCTGACGCTGTCCCTGACGCCGTGCGCAAGGGAGTGTCAATCGCCAAGAAGAATCTGATAACTGTGTCGTTGAAGAACACGACCATACCACATGAGGTGTTGGCCAATCACTGCGCCTCCTCGGTGCTGCTGAAGCCCGCCCCATCCGGTACAGGAGTGATAGCGGGAGGAGCTGTTCGTGCGGTAGTCGAGTTGGCAGGGATACGCGACATCCTCACCAAATCCCTGGGTAGCGGCAACCCCATAAACGTCGTAAGGGCTACCCTGGCAGGTCTGGAGCAGCTCAAGGATCCGGTCGAGGAGGTGGCGAAGAGAAAGGGCGTTAGAAGGGAACAGGGATAAGCGCAGCAAGACTCGGTGGCTAGTGGCGCGCTTGCGCTGACATGACGCCAATCAGGGAATCAATCAGTAATTCTGTAAGAGGGCATCTTGGCTAAAATACGCATACAGTGGAAGAAAAGCGCCATAGGGTACCCCAAGGAGCAGGGCCGTGTTATCAGGGCCCTGGGGCTCAGGCGGCTCAACCATGAAGTGGAACGGGAGGACAGCCCCACCATTATGGGGATGGTCCACAAGGTTCGCCATCTGGTTGAGGTGAAGCGAGGAGAGGAATGAGACTGGACCAGTTGAAAGCGCCTCCCGGGGCGCGTCGCAACCGCAAGCGCGTAGGGCGGGGCAACGGCAGCGGGAGCGGCACATATTCGGGACGCGGTATGAAGGGCCAGAAGGCCCGGGCCGGCGGCGGAGTGCGCCGCGGGTTCGAGGGAGGCCAGCTACCCGTCATAAGACGGCTGCCGACCCAGCGAGGCTTTACAAACATCTTCAAGAAGGAGTACTCCGTCGTTAACCTGGACTCCATTGCAGAGAAGCTCCCGGAGGAAACCGAGGTTACGCCGGAGGTGATGAAGGAGGCCCGTCTGATCAGGGGGCTAAGCCTTCCGGTGAAGGTGCTGGGCCGTGGTGAGGTGGACAGAGCCGTCACCGTGTTGGCCCACAAGTTCTCCATGGAAGCCAGGCGGAAGATAGAGGCTGCCGGCGGACAGGTGGTGGAACTCTAATATGATACGCCAGACCCAGACGGCGAAGTCGGAGGGGGCAACTCCCAGGTTGCTTCAGGCCGTCGTGGACGCTATGAAGGTGCCGGACCTGAGGGCGCGGCTGCTCTTCGTGTTCGCGATGCTGGTGATATTCCGCTTCCTGGCCCAGGTGCCTGTGCCCGGCGTGGAGCGGGAGGCTCTGGCGGACTTCTTCCGCCAGAACGACCTCTTCGGTTTCTTGGACGTCTTCAGCGGTGGCGCTCTCCGAAGTCTGAGCGTAGTAGCGCTGGGGGTATTTCCCTACATTACCTCCTCCATCATTATGCAGCTTATGGTGCCCGTTTTCCCGCAGCTGAAGGAGCTCAGCCGCGAGGGGGAAGCCGGCCGCCAGAAGATAAACCAGATTACCCACTACCTGATGGTGCCCATAGCGGCACTGCAGGGCTTCGGGCAGTTGACGCTTCTCCAGCGCGGAGGAGCCATCAGTGGGGTCGGCACGTCCGGCAGCGAGCTGCTGCCCACAATCGCTATAATACTCTCGCTGGTGGCAGGTTCGGTGTTTCTGGTGTGGATAGGGGAGTTGATAACCGAAAAGGGCATTGGCAACGGCATATCGATGATCATCTTCGCGGGCATAGTAGCCACGTTCCCACAGATGATAGGGCAGGGCTTCCTGGAGAGAGACAACATCTTCGGGCTGGGCATCCTGGTTATCATCGGGGTTCTGATGGTGGCCCTGATAGTGATGTTCACCGAGGCGGAGCGGCGCATACCGGTGCAGTACGGACGAGCGATATTCCGCGGCGGGCGGATGTACCGGCAGGGCGGTTCAACGCACCTGCCCATCAAGGTGAATTCCGCCGGGATGATTCCGTTGATTTTCGCCTTCTCCATCATGATATTCCCTGGGGTGGTGGCCAGCTACTTCATCGACCCTGCGAGCACCTCCATCATCAGTCGGGGGGCGCTCTTTGTGCAGGGCCTCTTTGACCCCACCAAGTTCTTCTACTACTTCTTCAGCTTCATACTGGTGGTGGCCTTCACCTTCTTCTACGCGATCATAGTCTTCAGGCAGCAGAACCTGGCCGAGAGCCTGCAGCGCAACGGGGGGTTCATACCGGGCATAAGGCCGGGCCACTCAACGGAGGAGTACCTGAACCGAATCATCGTGCGAGTGACTTGGGGAGGCGCCCTTTTCCTGGGGCTGGTGGCGGTGATACCCTTCATTGTCACAATCCTTACCGATATACGCGCCCTTCAGCTTCCGTCAATAAGCCTGCTGATTATGGTGGGTGTGGCCCTGGATACCATGAGGCAGCTTGAGGCGCAGCTCCTTATGAGAAACTATGAAGGATTTATCCGTTAGGAGGCAGTCTTGCGCATCATCCTTTTAGGACCGCCCGGAGCGGGAAAGGGCACCCAGGCAAAGGCCATGTCCGAGGCCGTTGGCGGAATTCACATATCCTCGGGCGATCTCCTGAGGGACCATCAGGCCAGAGGGACCGAGTTGGGTAGCATGGCACGCTCCTACATGCAGCAGGGACTGCTGGTGCCCGACAATGTGATTATTGGGATGATTGAAGACAGGATCGGCGCTCCCGACGCCACGTCCGGCTACGTGCTGGACGGCTTCCCGCGCACGCTGGAACAGGCCAGGGCGCTGGAGGAGGCCCTGAGTAAACAGTCTCAGGGCATCGATAAGGTGGTGAACATCCAGGTGTCCGATCCGGAGCTGATAAATCGATTGGGTGGCAGGCTGATATGCAGACAGTGCCAGCAGCCCTACCACGAGGTGAACTCGCCTCCCGCTAAGGATGGCGTCTGCGACGCGTGCGGCGGAGAGCTTTACCAGAGAGAGGACGACACTTCGGAGGCGGTACTCCGCAGGATCCAGGTGTACGCGGAGCAGACCGCGCCGTTAATAGACTTCTATAAAGAAAAAGGGAACCTGGTGGAGGTGGATGGTGAGGGCACCATTGAGGGAGTGAGGGAATACCTGCTGACCCTGGTGGGGTAGGTCAAGCGTTATGAATAAAGAAGCGATGTTTGCCGGCGTAGCGGTGAGGGAGCGTGGCATTACGGTCAAGTCTCCAAGGGAGATAGACTATATGCGCCAGGCAGGCAAAGTCGTCGCCAGCGCCAAGGCCGCTGTGACGGAGGCCATAAGCCCCCGGCATGACTACCAGAGATCTGGACGATATAGCGTCCGCGGAGATCAAGAGGCTTGGGGCGAAGCCGTCCTTCAAGGGATATTTGGGATTCCCCGCAACCATATGCGTATCCGTCAACGAGGAGATAGTACACGGGATACCCGGTGAGCGGGTGATCCGGGACGGGGATATGGTGAGCATGGACGTGGGAGCGGTAGTGGAGGGATTTCACGGCGACTCTGCCGTGACTGTGGGTGTGGGACAGGTCTCGCCGGAGGTGACTGCTCTCATAGACGTGACTAGGGAAGCGCTGGAGAGGGGCATTGGGGCAGCGCGCCACGGCTCTCGTGTGGGAGACATATCCTGGGCTGTGCAGTCCTATGTGGAGAACATGGGCTACTCAGTTGTTAGGGAGTACGTAGGCCACGGTATCGGCAAGGCCCTCCACGAGGAGCCGCAGATACCCAACTACGGCTCTCCCGGCAAAGGCCCTATGCTGAGAAAGGGCATGGTCATTGCCATAGAGCCAATGGTCAACATAGGTGGCTGGCAGACCAGGGTGCTGGAGGATAACTGGACAGTTGTGACCGCAGACGGCAGTCTGTCGGCGCACTTCGAGAACACTCTTGCCATCACAGAGGGTGATGCAGAGGTGCTGACTCAATTATGATAGAACGGATTCTATAGATGGGGGCTGTTTAAAAATATGCCTAAGAAGCCTGGCCTAGAGGTTGAAGGAACAGTGGGGGAAGCACTGCCCAACGCCATGTTCCGAGTGGATCTGGCCAACGGCCACCAGGTCCTGGCCCACGCTTCCGGCAGGATAAGAGTGCATTTCATAAGGGTACTGCCCGGAGACAGGGTGCTGGTGGAGCTTTCGCCATACGACCTGACCCGGGGCCGTATCACTTATCGGTTCAAATAATGGAGGTATCATGAGGGTGAGGGCCTCGGTTAAGCCGAGATGCGAAAAATGCAAAGTGATCCGGAGACACGGAGTGGTGAGAGTCATCTGTGAGACCCCTAAACACCGTCAGAGGCAGGGATAAAGAAGAGTACAGGAGAGACGTATGGCTAGGGTGGCTGGAATAGACATACCGGATAACAAGCGGTTGGATTACTCTCTACGCCGCATCTATGGCATTGGGCCTGTGATCGCCCGTGACATAGCTATCAAGGCAGACGTGGAGGGCAATCCTAGAGTACAGGACATGGGCGAGGACGACCTGACCCGGATCCGAGAGATCATAGACCGGGAGTACATGGTGGAGGGCGACCTGCGCCGTGAGGTAAACGGCAACATTCGCCGTCTGATAGATATCGGTTCTTACCGCGGTCTTCGCCATCGCCGCAATCTTCCGGTAAGAGGCCAGCGCACTCGCACCAACGCCAGGACCAAGCGCGGCACGCGGAAGACCGTGGCCGGACGCCGCCGGGCCGGGACCAGGAGGTAAGATACACATGACCAGCAGACGAAGACCCAGAGCCAGGAGACGGGAGCGAAAGTTCGTTCCACAGGGGAAGGTATATATCCAGTCCACCTTCAACAACACAATAGTCAGCCTCACGGACCCGCAGGGCAACCTGCTGGCGTGGGGAAGCTCAGGCACGGCCGGCTTCAAGGGCTCTCGCAAGGGCACGGCGTTTGCCGCCCAGCGGGCCGCAGAGGGCGCAGCCAGGAAGGCGATGGAGCACGGTCTACGGCAGGTTGAGGTGTTTGTCAGGGGCCCCGGCTCCGGCAGAGAGGTGGCGATTCGCTCCCTCCAGGCCGCCGGGCTCGCCATAACCAGCATTCGAGACGTTACCCCGATACCCCACAACGGCTGCCGCCCCCCCAAGTCAAGGCGGGTGTAGTAGTGGCGGAACTGCCATTATCCGCAGCGATAACGGCGCTAATGAGGGACCCTAGGGAGTTAAGAGGGAGATAGTATGGCCAGGTATACCGACGCTGTTTGCAGGCTCTGTCGAAGAGCCGGAGTTAAGCTCTATCTGAAGGGCGAACGCTGTTACACGCCCAGGTGCGCGGTGGAACGCAGGCGTAAGCCTCCGGGCAGTCAGCCTATGAGAAGGCGGCGTACCTCGGACTGGGGGACGCAGTTGCGGGAGAAACAGAAGGTGCGCCAGATATACGGCGTTCTGGAAAAGCAGTTCAGGAAGTACTACAGCGAGGCCCAGCGTCGTCCAGGGATGACGGGGCAGTACCTGATGCAAATCCTGGAAGAGCGGCTGGACAATGTGGCGTACCGCCTGAACTTCGCCGACTCCAGGAACCAGGCTCGACAGCTGGTCAGGCACGGTCACATTACGGTAAACGGCCGAAAGGTCGATATTCCGTCGTACCGGATCAAGGTGGACGACGTAGTGGCGTGGAAGGAGTCAAGCAAGGGCACGGGTATCTTCGCCGTAATGACCGGGGACATCCCCAGGCGACCCCTTCCCACCTGGCTGGGGCTGGACGTGGAAAACATGGCCGGGCGCGTGCTCTCCCTGCCGGAGCCCTCGGATATAGACACCGGGATAGACGTGAGGCTGGTTGTGGAGCACTATTCCAGATAGTGTAGGAGATGCTTTTATGGTTCAGATAGGAGGGGTCTTGGAAGAGACTCCCAAGCCAGAAATAAGGGTCCTGGAAGTCCAGGACGACTACGGCAAGTTTTCGGTGGAGCCGCTGGAGCCGGGGTACGGGATTACCCTTGGTAATCCCATGCGTCGGGTGCTGCTCACCTCTATCCCGGGCACCGCGGTGACGTGGGTCAAGATAGACGGCACTCTTCACGAGTTCTCCACGGTCCCGCATATGAAGGAGGACGTGGCGGAGTTCCTGGTCAACGTGAAGGCCATTCGCCTGAAGTCAATGGCGGACAGGCCGGGCAAATTGCGCCTGGAGATAGCCCGAGAGGGTGACGTGAAGGCGGGGGACATATTAGTCTCCTCCGACTTCGAGATAGTCAATCCAGACCTTCACCTGGCGACCCTGGACTCGCCCGACGCCCAGTTCTTCGTTGAGTTCAACGTGGAGCAAGGCAGCGGCTACGTGCCTGCCGGCAACGCCGACGGCCTGCCTATCGGCGTCCTGCCGGTGGACGCGATTTTCAGCCCGGTCCGCAAGGTGAACTACATCGTAGAGAACACCAGGGTGGGGCAGATTACCAACTACGAAAGACTCATTCTGGACGTATGGACGGACGGCACGGTGTCGCCTATAGAGGCGGTGAAGAAGGGCGCAGAGACCCTTCTGGAGCAGTTCTTCCTATTTGCCAACGCGGACAAAGCGGGAGAGGGCACGGCGGAGAGGCCGTCATTCACCGCAACCATACCAATGGAGCACTACAACACCCCTATTGAGAAGCTGGAGCTTTCCTCCAGGACCCTCAATTGTCTCAAGAGGAGCAACATCAACAAGGTGGGCCAGGTCCTGGAGATTGAGGAAGCGGACCTTCTGAAGATACGAAACTTCGGAGAGAAGTCCCTGGACGAGCTGTACTCGAAGCTCAGCCAGTTCGGCTTCCTTCCGGAGGACGCCGTCCGTGAGAGGATATCGAACGGAGTTGCCTTGGACACGGAAGACGATGATGACGCGTTTGTAGAGGACCTTGAGACTGAGACAGAGGTTGAAGTTGAAGTCGAAGCTGAGACCACTTACGAGGAAGAACAGGTATGAGACACGGCGTAGCGGGACGTAGACTCAGTCGCCTGACCGGTCATCGCATGCTGATGTACCGTACACAGGTGACGGACCTGATCCGCCACGAGAGCATTCGCACAACCGAGGCCAAGGCCAAGGAGGTGCGGGGCATGGCGGAGAAAATCATCACTATGGGGAAAAAGGGTTCCCTTTCTCACCGCCGTCAGGCCCTGGGCTTTGTTACGGACGAAGATATGGTGCGAAAGGTGTTTGACGAGCTGTCCGAGCGGTACGCGAATCGCGCCGGCGGCTATACCAGGATTGTCAAGATGGGACCGCGCAAGGGAGACGGCGCACAAATGGCCCTTCTGGAGCTTATGCCGTGACGGAGCTTACTCCGGGGACGGAGGAAGCGGCTACGGGACGACTCCGCCGGCTGGCCTTGCTGGTGGAGTACGAGGGCACACGATACCACGGGTTTCAGTCCCAGAAGAACGCGGCCTCCATTCAGGATGCCCTGGAAGGGGCGCTGTTCCGCCTCACCGGAGAGCGAAAGCGCATTAGGGGAGCGGGACGCACCGATGCCGGAGTCCACGCTCAGGGGCAGGTGGCGTCCTTCGATACAGGCGCTCTCTATGCCCCGGAGGTGTTCCTCAAGGCGATGAACCACTACCTGCCGGAGGACATCTCAGTGAAGGACGCGCAGGAGGTCTCTCAGGACTTCGATCCCCGAAGGTGGGCCGTCAGCCGGGAGTACCGCTATCGGATTCTGAACAGCGAGACACCATCGCCGATGATGCGCAGGGTTACTCATACGGTGAAGAGGCCGCTGGACGCGGAGGCTATGAATAACGCTGCTGCGCTCCTTGAGAGCGAAAGGGATATGGCGCCCTTCTCGGGGCCGTTGACCAACGGCAGACGCAGCACAACTCGAAGGGTGTACAGGTGCTCCGTCGAGAAAGAGGCTGGCCTGGTAACGCTGAAGATGGTCGCAACGGGATTTCTGCCCCAGCAGGTGCGGCGCACCGCGGGCGCTCTGATTGAGGTTGGACTCGGTCGGCTAAGCGTACGGCAGTTCGAGGACCTTGCCGGCTGTGGCGTTCTTGGGGCGGCCAACAGGGTAGCGCCGGCAAAGGGGCTGTCCCTGGTGAACGTAAGCTACGCTGTCCCGATATTCCCACAGAAGAAGGCGATCTCGACAGCATTCGACGATCTGCTTGAGAGTCTGTCCGGGAGCCTTCTCGCGGAAGACGAGACATCTTCCCCTGGCATCGGGGACATATGGGAAGAGAAATATGAAAATGAGCCGGTTGTAACAGGAACGAGGGCCACATGAAGACCTACTCGGCAAAACCCTCTCACGTAAATTCCAAATGGCACGTGTTCGATGCCAATGGCAAGACGCTGGGTCGTCTGGCTACTGAGATCTCCGTGCTGCTTCAGGGTAAACACAAGCCCATATACACCAGACACATCCTGACCGGCGACTTCGTTGTGGTAGTCAACGCCCGCAAGATAAGGGTGACGGGCAAGAAACTCCAGCAGAAGATGTACCGGCGCCACAGCCACTACCCGGGCGCTCTGCGAGAGACGCCCTTGGCCGTGCTACAGGAGAAGTACCCGGACCGCGTCCTGCGGGCGGCTGTCCAGGGTATGCTGCCCAAAACCACCAGGGGTCGTCAGATGCTGCGCCGGCTCAAGATATACGCCGGAGCGACACATCCCCACGAGTCCCAGGTGAAGCAGTCCGAGGAGACGGAGACCACGTCGATAATCCAGGAGGCGCAGGCCGAACCGCAGGTAGTTGTGGAGACGGAGGCTCCGGAGGAGGAGCAGACCGTCGACGAAACAACTCCTGAGACCGCTGAGGATGGCGTAGAGGAGGCTCCATCGGACGAGCTTCAGACGGAGGCCGCCGACGAGGTTGAGGAAGCGCAAACGGACGCCGAGGTGTCAGAGCAGGTCGAGGACTCGGCAGAGGAGCAACCCGCGGACGCGCCAACAGAGGAATCTTCTGAAGAGAAGGCGGGGAGTTAGCATGACCGCACAGCAGCACTACTTCTACGGAACCGGCAAGAGGAAGACGGCGATCGCCCAGGTGAGGTTGTACCCGGGGCGCGGCGGGATAACCGTCAACGACAAGCCTCTGGAGGAGGCCTTCCCTTGGGCTGCCTGGCAGGCGGTTGTGCTTGAACCGATGAAGGTTACGGACAGCCAGAGCAAGTTCGGAGTGACGGCCAAGACCCACGGCGGCGGAGTGAACGGCCAGGCCGCGGCTCTGCGACACGGCATCGCCCGCGCCCTTCTGGCCTCGGACGAGGGCCTCAGAGGCGTTCTGAGGCAGCACGGGCTTCTTACCAGGGACTCCAGGATAAAAGAGAGCAAGAAGTACGGCCTCAAGCGCGCTCGAAGGGCGCCCCAGTACACCAAGCGATAACGCTTCTACGGCTAAGCCGCTTGCAGATGCTATCCACTCTGCTGACCGGCAGATGGCGTCTTCTATGAAGTTTCGCGTGTACATAGCGGCGAGCGTTGACGGTTTCGTAGCAAGCGCCGATGGAGGGGTCAAGTGGCTGGACTCCTTTCGCGCCCCTGACAACTACGGCTTCGATCTGTTCATCCGGCAGATAGGCGCTATCGTAATGGGCCGTAAAACCTTTGATCAGGTCCTGGGTTTCGGCCCCTGGTCCTTCCAGGAGAAGGATACCTATGTGCTCACGTCGCGACCGATAGACAACCCTCCCCCGCGGACCGTCGCTTGGAGTGATGGCCCCGCACGGCTCGTCGAGCGCCTCAGAGGTATGTCATTGCAGGGCGACGTCTGGCTCTTTGGCGGACCGGAGAGCATAAACGCCATTCGCGAGCTCGGCGCTGTGGATGAATACATTGTGCACGTAATGCCTGTGCTCCTGGGTGCCGGTATTCCCCTGTTCGCGGAGAGTGGCGCCGCCACGTCGCTGAGCCTTGTGGACTCCTATGTGTATGAGGACGGGGTGGTGAAGCTCGTGTACCGGCCGGCGTGAAGTACGGGCCAAGATTGACAACCGGATGAGTTGACGGTTCTTACACAGAAACCCACGCGGATTCCCCGTGAGGGTCAGTCCGAATGGTCTCTGCTCATGCGCGGGCATACTCTCCCATCGCCTATTGGAGCTTGCAATAAGCCGTCTTTTGTATTACCCTTACACGTAAGTATAATACATCGAGGGGCAAGTTACGTGACAAGTCAAAACGAAACTAACCATGTTGAGGCGCAGGCTGAAGCTCAGGCAGGGGTCAAGACCAGGATCAAGGACGCCGCCCGGGAGGAGATGGAGGATGTCAACAGGGCCATGCGCGAGGTGCTTGGCAAGAGCAAAGACGTTGCCTCCAGCGTTGGGGAGTCTTTGCGGGACACCATAAAGTCGGTGCGGACTGCCCGGGACTCCGTGGTGATGGTCAGGATGAGCAAAGATAGCCTCCGGAAGCTGGACGCCCTGGTGGACTGCGGCCTGACCAGGAGCAGGTCGGAGGCGGCAGCTTTCCTCATTTCCGAGGGTATCAGGGCGAGGGCAAGCACGTATGAAAAGATTGCAGAGCAGTCGGAGGTGATCCGAAACGCCCGGGAGGAGCTCAGCCGCCTTTTGGACGAAGACCTCGAACCCGAACCCGCCGACCCGGAAGACGACGGGAGCGTCCGGCACATACCGTTGAGCTAGTGCCTACAGGGTATTGGACACTCTCAAAAGCAAAGGGTACGGAGCCGTGTGGAAAGTAACGTCTGAAGAAGCTCTAACTTGCACCGAATGCTATCATCTCATCCAGGCAGGTGAGGAATGTCTATCTCAGATGCCCAAAGACATGCCGGACAAGATTCACCGCATAAACTACGATAATTTCTGTATTCGTTGCACTCGATGTGATGCCAAAGAGGACAACCATCCTTGCTACGTGAGATGCCTCAATCATTGGTACGTGCATAGGACCTTATTGGAGAGGCCTGTCTCGTGCGGGCATTGCAACGTTGAGATACCTGAAGGAAAGAGGCCTTTTGTACAGAAGTTTTACGCGTGGCCCGATTCCACTAAGGAAACCGTGTCAGAAGACACCGAAGCGAGCACGGGCGGTTCAGTTCCTGGGATTTCCTTTGTAGCGAAGGAATCGTCAGTGGGCAAATGGCATAGTCTAAGCAATGATATGCAGAACAAACTAAAGAATGCTGGGCTGGGAAACGGCCGCGGTGGAGCTAGGACTGCAATGGAAGCAGAACAATTCTATGAGTCGAGCATTCCATTTCAGGTACGAAACGGAGGGGAGTCCGCAGTCAAAGACTTTATCCGTGGACGGGATGCGAGCCATATCAAGTCAGTACATCACTCTCCCACCCAAGCCAAAGACCCTCGAAATACGGTGTGGGAGAGCCCCCACAAAAACCGCGCCCGGGGCAGCCGCAACATGAACAAACGTGAGATTGGTACGGCAAAATTAGAGAACGGGCTAAGAGGCGCTAAAATCGGAGGCAAGGCGGCACTGCGACGAGGTATTCGTGGAGGTGTGATTGCTGGAGCAACAGAGTTGCCTATGGCCGCGGCGGAGAACTTTCTACACTGGAAACGGGCCCGCAAATCTGGCAAGCAGGCGATTAAGGACACAGCCAGCAAGGCAGGTGCAACTGCTGGCGTTTCCGGTTTGGTTGGCATAACAACCTTTCTCCTGCCAATCTCATTGGGGCCGTTGGCGATGCCCGTCGCCATCCTGGGGGGAACTGTATGGGCTGGCAATTCCATCTACCGAATTGCCAATGCCGCCAAGATAGATATTCCTCTTGAGGAGTATCAAGTGTTCTTCTGTAGTGAACGCGCCTGTAGGAGCGAATTCGCGTACGCCATTGCCAATTCGTAGACTCCCTAAGGCAGACTATTGATATGGTGGCACAGGTCTGCCCCAACACTAGCAGCCCGTCCGAGGATTATCTAACGGTGCTTGCGGGTCAGCGACAATGGATCGCGACAACTAATTGTGCCGGTTGCCCCGGCCGGCCCCCAGATAGCTTTGCGAATAGCGCCGTGCTCACTACCTCGGCAAAGTTCCTGATGCGTTGGGCTGGCCCATCGACCCGTGCTTTCCTGTGCAGATTGACCCCAAAGCGGAACAGTTTGAGCAGGTTGTGGCCGGTGCAGATCAGCGACCATTCGCCGTTCACCTTCTCCAGTCCCCGCAGCAGGAACTGCCGGAATCCCCGGCCCTGCTTGATCTGGCCGAATACCGGCTCCACAGTTTGCATCCGCAAAGCGTAGCGCTGCCGACCCCGCCTGGTCTGTAACTTCCGTCGCATCCGGTCCCTGGGAGACAGATGGCTGGGTATGCGACCTCGGGGCGCGGGTGGCACAACCCGGCCGTGGCGGGTCTGCTCCGGCGCGACGAACGGGTCCACGCCCAGAGCATAAAGCTCGTCGACTGCCTTTGCCGAGTAGTAGCCAGCATCGGCGGATACTTCCCTGGGGACTGCACCGACGTTGTCGATGGTCTCCTCCATCATCGCCGCAGCCTGTTGCTTATCCGAAGTCTGGTTGGTGGCCCGCGCCGCCACGATCACCTGGTGAGCGCTGTCCACCACCGCCTGACAGTTGTACGCTTGCAGGAAGTCCTTTCCTCCAGGTGCGGGGATGATGCGCGACTCGGTATCGGTGAAGTTACGCTGGGCCTTGTCGTCGGGCACACCCCGGGTGCTTACCACCTTCGGCCTCGGCCTGTTCGGCAGCCGCCTGCGCCTCGGCTTCCAGCGCCGCCATGGCTTCCCGTATCTTCTCCAACCGACCCTCTCGAAAGGCCAACTCCTCCGGCAACTCATCTCCACGCTTGTCTTTGCCGTACCGCCGGTCTTCCTCATCATCCGCTGCCTGGGCCTGCTCGCAACAACTCCGCTACCTCCGCCGCCAACTGCGCTGCCTTCTCCTTCATCCGTTGGTAACTCATCGCCTTATGCTTCGATGCGTTGGCCTTGACCTTCGTGCCGTCCAGCGCCACGTGCCCCAGCTTCACCAGCCCCGCCTGCTGGCACAACGCCAGTACCTGTATGAACAGGCCCGACAGCGCATCCAGATTATCCTTGCGAAAGTCGGAGATGGTCCGGAAGTCCGGTGTGTTGTTCGCCGCCAACACCCTGAAGGCGATGTCCTCGTGGAGACGCTGGGCGATGCGGCGTGAGGACGCCACCCCGACGCAGTAGCCGTAGAGCAACACCTTGACCATCATCCGTGGATGATACGGCGGCCCGCCACGCCGTTCCCGCTCGTAGCGAGCGGTGACCTCCGACATGTCCAACTGGTCCACCACGTCGGATATGAAGTAGGCCAGATGGTCGTCAGGCAGCCACTCCTGCAACGCCGCTGGCAACAGCAACTGCTGGTCGGGTTCGTAGGGAAGGTAGGTCTTGCTCATCAACGACTCCCCGCTACTGGACTGGGCCCATCATACACCCAACCACTCGCCAACCGTGTTTCTCGGACAGGCTGCTAGACCGTCAGCACCACCTTGCCAAAGAAGTCCGACTCCTCCATGACCCGGTGGGCTTGGTCGGCCTCCTCCAGGGGGAAGACGCGGGCGACCACCGGCTTCAGGTCTCCCCTGGCAAATAGTGGCAGGATTATGGGCATGTCTCCCTGGGCTTCATTCGGGATCCCATTATGGTAAGCTCCCTCGTCCACAGCTGACCCAGGTGGAACTCCGCCCGGTATCCCGCCGATACGCCGCAGTTGATGAATGTCCCGCCGGTCTTGATGCTGGCGAAGCACTGCTCCCATACTGAGGCCCCTATGTGGTCCAGTACCACGTCCACGCCCTGGCCGTCTGTGAGCTCTCGGACCCTGGCGGCCATGTCCTCCGTCTTGTAGTTGATACCTGCGTCCGCTCCCATGCGCTCGGCTTTTTGAAGCTTCTCGTCCGTGCCTGTGGTGGTGAGCACTCGGCAGGACGCCAGCTTCGCAATCTGTATGGCAGCGATGCCGACGCCGCTTCCCCCGGCCATGACCAGCACGTTCTGCCCCATAGCGATCTCTGCCTTGCACATAAGCAGATGCCAGGCGGTAGCGAAAGATACGTAGATGGAGGACGCCTCCTCGTAGCTCATCCCGTCGGGAATCGGGTAAAGGTCCATATAGTGGGACCTGGCGTACTCGGCGTAGGCCCCGGGCATACCGCCCAGCACCCTGTCGCCTACCCTGAAGTTGGGCACTCCATCTCCTACTTTGGACGACTTCCCCGGCGCCCTCCATGCCCAATACCAGGGGCAGCGAGGTCCGGGTGCCGTGGGATCCCTCTCGCACGAACATCTCCCGTCTGTTCAGGGCACACGCCCGCACTCGCACCAACACCTGCTCCCGTCCTATCTCCGGCTCCGGCGCGTCCCCGTAGACCAGCTTGTCAGGCCCACCGTACTCCGATATGTAGACCGCCTTCATTGCTCCCCTCCCTTATGCCCTTTGACTTGCGAGCTTCGTCCGACTGATATAGGTGCATAATCCAGGGTCTCGGATGCTGCGTCAAGCGGCAGCACCTGTATTTGCAGGTTCGTTCTACCTGGGCTGACAGTGGAATCCTTTGCGTAACTCTCCGGTGCAATTTGCGTACGCCTTGTTCACCCCCATCCTAACCTTCCCCCGCAAGCGAGGGAAGGGATTTCACGAACCCTGGCGAGGGCTTCAAAGGTCTGACGCTTCCGAAGGGCGCTCGTTGACCGCACACACCGCAATGTCGATAATGAGAGACAGGGGACGTTATGACCACATGGGGACGCACAAGGCGAATTGGCGCTCTCTCATCCGGGAGACTTTTCTTGCGATCGGCCATACTTTGCCTGTCGTTGCTGGCCCTAGCGGGAGGCCTGACCGGCGTCAGTATGGGTCAGGGAGACCACGCCCTGCTTGTGGAGATCGACGCCACAATCAACTCCGTTACCGCCGGCTACCTGGACCGGGCTATGGAGAAGGCTGCAGAGGACGAGGCCGAGCTTATCATAGTGCAGCTGGACACACCCGGCGGTTTGCTGGACTCCACAAGGGACATGGTATCCAGCCTCCTGGAATCCAGGACACCGTCCGTCGTATACGTTGCCCCCGGTGGGGCCAGAGCCGCATCCGCGGGCACTTTCATAGCGGCGGCGGCCAACTTCGCAGTTATGGCCCCCGGGACCAACATTGGCGCTGCAAGCCCCGTAAGCTCCGAGGGAGAGGAGCTGCCGGAGACAATCAAGAGCAAAGTCACTGAGGACGCCGCGGCTCTTATGAGGGACATAGCCACCGAGCGCGGGAGAAACGTCGAGAAGCTGGAGGAGACGGTGCTCAATGCCGTGGCCTACACCTCTGAGGAGGCTGTGGACCTGAACGTGGTGGACTTCGTTGCCTCCGACCTCACAGAGCTGCTCGAGAAACTGGATGGCAGGGTGGCGGAGATCCTCTCTGACGAGGTTACGTTGAACACACAGGGGCTGGACGTCCGCAGGCTGGATATGACCTTTGTGGAGAAGTTCCTGCTCATTCTGTCCAATCCCAACATCTCATTCCTGCTCGTAACCATAGGCGGATTGGCCATCATGATTGAGCTGTTCAACTTCGGCATGATAGTCCCGGGTTTCATCGGGGTCACGTGTCTCCTGCTGGCTTTTGTCGCGCTGGGGAACCTGCCGGTGAACTGGGCGGGAGTCGCCTTCATCCTGCTGGCTATGGTGCTGCTGGGTCTGGAGGCGATGGCGGCGGGCATAGGTGTACTGGGCGTTGGAGCGGTGGTCAGCTTCGTCATAGGCGGGCTGCTCCTCTTCCATAGTTTTGGCCCGACGTCTCCGACTTTACCCGATGTAAGAGTGAACATCTGGCTGATTCTAGGTACGACGGTCCTCCTGCTGGGTGGCGGAGGGTGGTTTGTAATGACCATGGTGAAGTCGAGGCAGACGGACAACCCTTCCACGGCCGATGCGGTGATCGGCGAGGTCGGTATGGTGACATCGGACCTGGCGCCCATCGGGATGGTCCAGCTTCCCAGCGGGCTGTGGAGCGCCATCGCAGACAACGATGAGGTTATAATGACTGGAGAACGGGTCAGGGTGGTGAGTATGGAGGGTCTCACCGTTAACGTGCAGAAAGGCAAGGTAAGAAAGGAGACGTTATGGTTTTCTGGAGAATAGTCAAGCAGTACGAGCGAATGGTGGTGCTGAGGTGGGGCAAGTACATGAACGTGCGCGGACCGGGACTGAGGCTGGTGGTTCCTTTCATGGATCAGGCGGTAAAGGTGGACATAAGGGAGCAGGTGGACAGGGTGCCAACCCAGAAGTACATCACCGCCGACAACGTGGTGGTGGACATGGACTTTGTGATCTACTACAAGGTCCTCCAGGGTGATGACGAGGTCAGGAGGGCCGTCATGGACATAGAAAACTACAGAATGGCTACGATTAACCTCTCCTTTGCCACCCTCAGGGCCGTGATAGGCTCCACAAGCCTGACGGAGGCGCTATCTGAGCGGGAGAGGATTCGCGACCAGCTTCAAGTGCGTATGGACGAGGTCACCGGGCGTTGGGGTATCAAGGTGAGCCAGGTGGAGATCAACGAGATTGACCCGCCGCCCGGCGTGAAGGCCGCTATGGAGCGGGAGAAGTCCGCCGCGGCCATAAAGACGGCCGAGATCACGGAATCCGAAGGCTCTCGCCAGGCCGCGATCAACCGGGCCGAGGGCGAGAAGCAGTCGGCCATTCTTACGGCGGAGGGATCGCGCGAGGCCGAGATCCTTAACGCGGAGGGAGACCAGCAGGCGGCCATCCTCCGCGCCGACGGCTTCAGCACCGCCCTGGACAGGATAAACGCTGTTGCCCAGTCCGCGGACGCCAGGACTATGAGCCTCCAGTACTTCGATACGCTGAGGCAGATGGGCAACAGCCCTGCAACCAAGTTCATATTCCCAATGGAGTTCACCAGTATGCTGGAGTCCTTCATAGGCTCAACGACACGGCGGCCGAACGATCAGTAGAACTAGAAGGTTGGAATTGAGCAACGTGCGCCAGTGGATCTGGGGTGGATTGGGTATCCCCAACGTGTGTTGGCATTACTCTTCGGCTTAACAAGAGTTTACTGAGAATGCCTTATTCCCCGCTCACCCTGAGCCTGTCGAAGGGAGTGAGCGGGGGCCGCACGGCTGTTGCATTCCCGCTCAAATGGTTCGACAAGCTCACCATGAGCGGGAATCAGGTGGTATTCTCTACGATTGTTTCCATTACCAACCCAACCCGGAGATACTGCCAGTTTGACGCCATTATCAGGGGGTAGAACCGTGGCCACAGCACAACTGCTTTCCCAGGCGCAGGAATACATGGCGCAGTCGGGCGTGGACGGCTGGCTCCTCTACGAGTACCGCGGGATAAACCCGTTTTTCTCGCAGGTCATGGGCCGGCTGTCCATGGTCACCCGCCCCGTCTTCCTTTTCGTGCCGGCGAATGGCGGGGCCGTGCTGCTGACGCATCACGTGGACGGTGGCAGGTTTTCCGGGCTTGACGAGCTGGTAGTGGAGTACACTGGCCGCGACTCTCTCCTGATGAGCCTGGGCGAGGTCCTGAAAGGCAGCGGGAGAGTGGCTATGGAGTACTCCCCTATGGGAGCGCTGCCTCGCGTCTCCCGTGTGGACGCCGGGACCCTCGATATGGTGAGGAGCCTGGGAGTGGATGTGGTCTCATCGGCGGACCTGGTGCAGTACGCTACCCAGCGTTGGAGCGATGCCCAGCTGCAGTCGCACAGAAGGGCCGCGGAGAAGCTGAGCCTCATTGCGGCGGCGGCATTCGAGTTCATGGGACAGCGCCTGAGCGATACGCCGTCGGAGGTGGACGTGGCGCGCTTCATCCTGCGCCGCTTTGAGGAAGAGGGTCTGGAGACACCGGACGGCCCGGTCGTGGCGGTCGACGAACACAGCAGCGACCCACACTACCTTCCCACAGAGGAAGCCGCGTTCGCCGTCCGACCCGGAAGCTGGGTGCTGATAGATATGTGGGCCAGGGAGGCGTCTCAGGAAGCGATCTTCGCCGACATCACCTGGGTGGGGTACGCGGGCGGTGAAGCGCCGCGGCTCCATCAGGAGGTTTTTGACGTAGTCACAGGGGCAGGACGCGGCCCTGGACTTCCTTGGCGACGCCCTCCGCAGGGAGACACCGTGCAGGGGTGGGAGGTGGACCGGGTGGCGCGGCAGCACATCTCCTCCCGGGGATACGGGGACTACTTCACCCACAGGCTGGGCCACAGCCTGGGCTTGGAGGTGCATGGGGACGCGGTTAACCTGGACGGCTGGGAGACCCACGACACGCGCCTGCTCATTCCCCACATCGGGGTTACCATTGAGCCCGGCGTCTACCTGCCTGAATTCGGGATGCGCTCCGAGGTAGACGTGTACATCTCAGCGACCGGGCCGGAGGTGACCAGCTCCGTGCAGAGGGAAGTGGTGCTCATAGGGTAGCTCCCGCGGGGAAAGACCTTTGGACAATCTTGGTCTCGTGTTGCCCCCTCCCTATATCGGAGTACGGGGCAAGCTCTGTCTCTTCCTCTGAGAAGACCTTTGCAAAACGTTCTCTAATCATAGACCACCCCTGCGAAGCTTGTCCTCGTGGAAACGGGGAGCGGGGGTCTACTGTGTGCTATCACGGGTGCTCTGGATTCCTGTTTACGGAGACCTTTGAATAGGGAATTATATACGGTTTTACCCGGCCACCTCTTCAAAGTCCTGAGCACTCGGCGGAATCACATCAAGCCAGTCATAGTCAAAGACTCTCCACAGATCCTCCGCCAACACTTCTTCTGGAGCATACTGACTCGGCAACCCGTCCACCTGGCCGACGACAATTCTAGTCAACTGAGGTAGTCCCTTCGCAGTGCAATAGTTCCCGATTAAGGGTAAGACACCCATTCCTACCACTGGCAGAGGAGACTCAGTTAACCCCATCTCTCTGGATAAAGCTGAATAAGTCAGTATACGCCCCTGTCGAGCAGCAGCTACAAGCACCTGCCAAACTTGTACAGCGCGAGTGAATTGGGTATGCCCTAGCTCACTAAACCGATTCTCATCGGAGGTCATTCGCTCCTTACTTCTATATACTCCGAACCTGTCAGGTTTCTTCCCCCCTAGTAGTCAAACCCCAACCTCGCCCGAATGCGCTCCCGCCCCAGTGGAGTAAGGGCTACATCGTGGAGCTTAGGCAGAGCGTCAAAATCAAGCACTTTGTCCCTGTAGCTAACGTGGACTGCAGCAGTCATCAGGTAACGGAGTCCCTCCGGCAGTGTCCACTCAAGTAATCCCGCGTCCACGCAAGCCGCAATCTCCTCTCGCGTCGCGTCTGTTGTATTGATTGAGCCAGCTCGCGTCGCATGAGAATATCAAATACTCTACCTTCATTAACATCATACTCATAAGTACCTCTAGGTAGTGTCTCAGGTACGCTACCGATAGCGTTCATGGAGGCCAATGACGCCTCCGACACAACGAGGACACAACAAGAACCGGTGTCCAGGGCCATATGATGAAGTACAGGAACTCTCTCAATGCATCGGTTACTACTTCCATTATAGACTCCTCTCTTCGCGCTCGTGGTGTTGCGGAGTTTCCTAATCAGGACTCGGTATCGGTTTGCTCTGCTCCTTTTCTGTCATTCCTGCGGAGGCAGGAATCTAAAAACTCTGTCTGCAAGGTGCATGACTTGGAAGAAGGGCTTTGGATTCCCGTCCCCGTATCGGAGTACGGGGCAAGCTTCACGGGAATGACGGAGAATAATGCTTTTCAGGAGGACATCGGTTTATTCGAAGCTCTCCTGAAGGGGGAGAGAAGGTTAGCAGGAGCGCCTAAACCCCTTCCCCAGGATTTCGGGTAAGGTTGGGATGGGGGCACTCTGAGAACCCCGGGAAGTTACGCAAAGGCCTCTTGGGTACATGTCCCATTTCACAAGCCGACGCTGACAAGCGATGCTAAGCAGATACAGGCGCTTGAAAAGACTTGGCTTCGGTCTGTGCAACAGCAGCTAGCTATGAGGCCTCATACCGGTCGATGGCTGCTCGCGCGGCTTCGGTGTTGAAGGCGCACAACACAAGACGGGTGTTGGTGCCCATGTACACCATATCGATGTTGACCCCGGAGTCGGCCATGAACCGCGCTACCTTGCCGAGCTCGCCGGGTCGGTCCTCCACGTCCACGGTAAACACCTCTCTTTGGTGTTCCACTTCAACGCCAATCTCGCCCAGAGCCTCCTGGACGCCATTCATTTCGTCGACCAGTATGTGGAGGAAGCTCTTGCCTGCGGAGGGAAAGGAGCAGTATCCCTCTATGTTGATGCCGGCCTTTCCCATTGTCTCTCCCACCCGGGCCAGCGCTCCGGGAATGTCATTTATGACTAAAGTTACGTCGTGGGGCATACTATCTTCCTTTCTCCAGCCTTATGCGGCTGCTATTGGGGGGTTGTATGTTGAGATGCTGCGGGACTAGGGGTCTATCGACTCCCTGCCCACATAGCTCTGCAGCACGTCCGGTACACGTATGGAGCCGTCCGGCTGCTGATAGTTCTCCATAATGGCTATGAGGACCCTGGGCAGAGCCAGACCCGAGCCGTTGAGTGTGTGGACATACTGTGGTCTTGCGCCCGCCTGGGGCCTGAAACGAATATTGGCGCGTCTGGCCTGGAAGTCGGTGCAGTTGGAGCAGGAGCTGACCTCCAGCCACTCGCCGCATCCCGGGGCCCACATCTCCAGATCGAAGGACTTTGCTGACTGAAAGCCGATGTCGCCAGTGCACAACTCCAGGACTCTGTAGGGGATGTTCAGACGTCTGCACACCTCCTCGGCCGACCTGACCAGCTTCTCCAGCTCCTCGCCGGAAGTTTCGGGAGTAACCAGCTTGTATAGCTCCACCTTGTCGAACTGGTGGACGCGCTTGATGCCCCTGGTGTCCTTGCCAGCAGCCGCCTTCTCACGGCGGAAGGACGGTGAGTGGGCCACGTAGTACATGGGAAGTGCGTCGGGCTCCAGGATCTCGTCGCGGTGGAGGCCGGTAAGGGGCACCTCAGCCGTGGGTATGAGCCACAGGTCGTCCTCCTCGTCGTGGTACAGGTTGTCCTCGAACTTGGGTAGGTTGCCGCTTCCCTGCATCACCTCTCGGCGCACCATATAGGGCACGTACACCTCGTTGAAGCCGTGCTCCTGGACGTGCAGGTCCAGCATCCAGGAGATGAGGGCGCGTTGCAGCTTGGCTCCCTGGCCCGTCAGGGTGAAGAAGCGGGAGCCCGATACCTTCGCGCCCCTGGCCAGGTCTATGATTCCAAGACTCTCCCCCAGGTCCCAGTGAGGCAGTGGCGAGAAGCTGAAGTCAGCCGGCTCTCCCCACGTTCGTATCACCCGGTTGCCGGACTCGTCCTCTCCCACCGGCACGTCCGGGAGAGGCAGGTTGGGCAGCTTCAGCAACTCCTCCTCCAGGCTCGCCTCCGCCTCCTTCACCTGCGTCTCCAGAGTCTTGATGCGGTCTCCCGTCTGTCGCATCTCCTCCAGTAGGTGGGCCGGCCTCTCCGACATACGGCCTATCTCTCTGCTGACCTGGTTGCGCTTGGCCCGGAGGTCATCGGCTTCGGTGAGGTGGGATCGACGCAGGGCGTCCAGGGACAGTATGCTTTCAAGAGGGGCTTCTTCGCCCCTCCTGGCCAGAGCCTCTCTGACAGCCTCAGTGTCCTGGCGTATCTGCTCTATGCTGAGCATATTTACAAACCTCCCGTTGCCGGCAGGACGTTACCTCTCTCTCAGCTGAGGGAACAGGATAACCTCGCGTATCGACTGCTGCCCGGTCAGCAGCATGGTCAGCCGGTCGATGCCTATTCCCAGCCCGCCCGTTGGAGGCATCCCGTGCTCCAGGGCCAGCAGATAGTCCTCGTCCAGCCGGTCAAGGTCCTCGTCTACCAGGCCTCTCAGGGCCTCCTGCTCCATGAACCGCCTGCGCTGCTCATCGGGATCGTTCAACTCGGTGAAGGCGTTGGCTATCTCCATGCCCGCGGCAAAGCCCTCGAACCGCTCCACCATAGTGGGGTCGTCCGGGCTCTGCTTGGCCAGCGGGGACATGTCCAGAGGATAGTCCAGCAGGAACGTCGGCTGGATGAGCTGCGGCTCTACGCAAGCCGACACCAGCTTGTCGATGAGCCTCCCGCGGCTGCTTCGTCCCTCTGCGACAATGCCCAGCTCCTTTATTCTCTCCTCAAGGGATGAGGCGTCCGGGAAGTCCTGGAAATCGATGCCCGCGCTGCGCTGCACCTCCTCCCTGAGTGAGACCCTTTTCCAGGGAGGCGTGAAGTCGATTACGTTGTCGCCGTACTGGACCTGCGCCGTGCCCAGCACCTCCTGGGCTACTGAGCAGACCATGTCCTCCACCATGCACATCACGTCGTTGTAGTCGGCGTAGGCTTCGTAGCTCTCCAGCAGGGTGAACTCAGGGTTGTGGTCCTGGTCGATGCCCTCGTTGCGGAACACTCTGCCGATCTCGTACACCTTGTCCAGCCCGCCAACTATGAGGCGTTTGAGGTACAGCTCCGTTGCAATGCGGAGGTAGAGGTCGCGGTCAAGGGCGTTATGGTGAGTGGCGAAGGGCTGGGCCATAGCGCCGGCGGCAACCGGCACAAGCACGGGTGTCTCCACCTCCATGAAGCCCCGGGCGTCCATAAACCGGCGAATCGCCGAGATGATGCGGCTGCGGGTCTGGAAGTTCTGCTTGGCCTCCTGGTTGGTGATGAGGTCGAGATAGCGCTGCCTGTGACGTATCTCCACGTCGGAGAGGCCGTGCCACTTCTCCGGCAGGGGGCGCATGGCCTTTGCAAGGAAGGACACCTCGTGGGCTTCCAGGGTTATCTCACCGGTCCGGGTGAGGAAGAGAGGCCCCTGTGCGCCCAGGAAGTCGCCCATGTCCAGGTCCCGGACCAGCTCGTACTCCTGGTCCAGGATATCCCTTCTCAGGTGAACCTGAATCTGGCCTGAGCCGTCCTGGAGGTTAATGAAGGAGGCTTTGCCCATTCGTCGCAGCGTCATGATGCGCCCGCCCACGGACACCGGGGCCGTGCGAGTCTCGTCGCCTCCGTTTGCCGCCTCGTCCCTATAAAATGCTACCGCCTCCCCGATGGTGTGGCTACGGGGTAACGATTCGGGAATGGCTCTACTCCTCTGTCCCTGAGCCGCTGGAACTTCTCTCGACGGCTCTGGAGCAGGTCTCCGCCTCTTTTTTCCATAACGATGTGATGCGTCCGGTGTGGTGGTCAGTTGATGCTTGATATGGTGAGGGTCACTGTGCCGGCGGGAGTGTTTACATTCACTTCCTCACCGACTTTCTTGTTCAGTAGGGCTTTGCCCACAGGGGACTCGTTGGAAATGCGTCCCTGGCCCGGGTCAGCCTCGGCGCTGCCCACAATGGTGTACTCCTCCTCGGCCTTGTTCTGGTTCAGGACGATAACGTGCGCTCCCAGGTTCACCTTATCGGAGTGGGTAGCCTCATCTCCAATGAGTATGGCGCCGTCTATGATCCTCTCCAGAGTGAGGATGCGCCCCTCAACAAAGGCCTGCTCGTTCTTGGAGTCGTCGTACTCTGCGTTGTCCACCGTACCGCCGAGCTCCTTGGCTTTCTGAATACGGTCAGCCACCCCCACGCGTTTAACGGAGCGTAGATGCTCCAACTCAGCCTCCAGCTTGGCGCGGCCTTCCTTTGTGAGATAGCTACCTTTCTGCGGCACGACATCCTCCATAATGCAAAAAGACCGAGAGCATACCCTCTTTCAGCATGCCTCAGTTCGCTCCCATTTTATAGCTACTGCGCAGGGTTGTAAAGCTATAGAGCGGATTCTTACAGGGTTTTTTGATTGTCACCCTCAGCGACAGCGAAGGGTCTAAAATCCTTGCCTCCATTCCTTGTCTTCAATACTCGGACCAAGTTCTTGCTGAAGGATTTTAGATTCTTCGCTGTCGCTGAGGGTGACATATTCCAACAATCGAAATACCCAGCGGATTATGGCGCGCAATTCGCCCTTGGACTGCTAAAGTGCGCTTGTCCGCTCCAGCAGCTCCGCAGCGCAGAGGACGGCGCTTGTTACGTCCTCCAGCCGGATGTTCTCGTTCGGGGCGTGAATGCGGTTGTCCGGGTGGTTCAGGCCGGGGCCAGTGGAGACGGGAAGCCCTAGCTCCTGGGTGAAGAGGTACATGGGGCCGCTCCCTGCCATAGACGGGGCGAGAATCGTGTCATTGCCGTAGGCCGCCGATGCCGCCTGGGCCACAGTGGCCACCCACGGGTGGTCCAAGGGCGTACGCGCGGCCGGTTCGCCGTGCCACCAGGCTATCTCCACGTCTTGGAATCCCTGGTTGTCCAGATGAGACCTCACCTTGTCAACCAGGTCTTGCGGGTCCTGGTCAGGCACCAGTCGAAAGTCTACCTTCACTCGCGCCTCTTCCGGCAGTATGGTCTTTGCTCCGTCCCCGGTATAGCCGGAAATGATGCCGGCGATGTTGCTGGTGGATTCCATCTGGAGTCGCCTCTCGTAGTCGGCGCCGCGCACCCCCTTAACGAAACCGGATAGGCCCAGGCTGTCCATCAGCTGATGTTCCTCCGGCGGGATACGGCCCAGCGCCTCAAGCTCCAGGTCCGTCGGCGGACGGACGGCATCGTAGAAGCCCGGTATCAGGATTTCCTCGTCCGCGTTCTTGATGGAGGCCAGGGCCCAGACCAGCCGCCAGGCGGGGTTTGTGACTACGGCCGCGTAGGAGGAGTGTACGTCCCGGTTCGGTCCTCTCGCTGCGAGCTCCATGTAGAGGATTCCCTTGAGTCCCAGGGAAATGGAGGGAGCGCCCTGCCAGTTAACTCCACCGCCCTCCCAGATACAGCCGTCGGCCTTCAGCAGGTGTGCGTGGTCTCTCACCACGGAGGCCAGGTGGGGACTGCCTATCTCCTCCTCGCCCTCCATGAAGAACTTCACGTTGCAGGGAAGCCCGTCTCCGGCGCGCACAAAGGCCTCGATGGCCGCCAGCCGCACCGCAATCGACCCCTTGTCGTCGGAGACGCCGCGGCCGTACAGCCTGCCTTCTCGGACGGTCGGCTCGAAGGGCGGAGACGACCAGAGCTCCAGCGGCTCCGGGGGCTGGGCTGCACGTCGTAGTGGTCGTAAAATAGGACTGTGCGGTCCGACCGGCCCTTGAAGTCGGCGAAGATGACGGGATAGCCGGTCTCCGGCGCGGGCGCCGTCGAGACCGGTGCCCCCAGCTCTGTCAGCATGTCAGTGACAAGCTGGGCGCACTCGTGAATGCCCAGGCCCTGAGCGCTGACGCTGGGCTGCCGGCAAAGGCGCACCAACCGCGCCATTGTGGATTCATGTGAGGCCCTGATGTACTCTTCTACTCTATTGTCCATCTCGGTTTCACCCCGTTGCAGATGGATAGAGATTACTTCTACACCCCGATTGTTGCAATAGCCTGAAGAGGTTAGGATGTGTAGAGACCAATTAGCATTGCCGGCACCAGCCTGCGAAGCAAAACTATACCCGGGAGTTGACTATGAGCAAGGTGACCGAGAAGTGCGACGGCAGCGATAGGCCCGTCGTTATCTGCGACTTCTCACCTCCCAGGGGAAGCGACCCGGCTCTCCTGTCAGGGGCGCACTCCGTCTCGCCCGACTTCATCAGCGTGGCCTACAGCCCGGCAAGGCGGTCAGGTTGGACGCCGTCATAGCCGCCTACGCGATAAGGCAGCAGACGGGCAGAGGAAGCGATATTCACACTGGCTACCAGGGACATGAACAGGCTGGCTACACAGAACCACCTGCTGGGAGCCGCCATGCTCGGCCTGGAAAACGTGATAGTGGTGGGCGGCGACGCCTTTACGGAAAGAGACCTGTCCGCGGTCAAGGACGTCAGGGACTTCCGGCCCACGGAGCTGATTGCGGCCATCAAGCATGAACGAAGGCGTCGATTACAAAGGGCTGAAGCTGAGAGCGCCAACGGACTTCTGCGTTGGCGCGACCATAGACCTGGGGCGCAGCATTGAGAGGGAAGCCAGACTTACCCGCGCAAAGGCCTCCGCCGGAGCCGACTTCTTCATCACCCAGCCCATCTACGACCTGGACCAAATTGAGCGATTCCGGGAGGGCTACGAGGCCGCTGCCGGAGAGCCGCTTGCAGCGCCGGTCTTCTGGGGTTTGCAGGTCCTGGACGCCAGGGGACTCGTGTTTGGCGACGTTCCGCAGTTCATCAGGGAGGAGCTGGATGGCGGGAGGGATGGTGTCGATATAGCGGTAGACCTGATGGAAGAGTTTCTGGCGGCGGGCATCACTAACATCTACCTTGTCCCGCCCATCTTGAGGGGCGGGCTGCGGGACTACGAGGCGGCCCAGAGGGTGCTGGACGCTCTGAACGGGGTGTGGTAAGCCAAACCTCTTCCCATAGGGAGACCTTTGCATAACTCCGGTGTATCTCCTAGAAGAGGCTATCTTCTCCGTCATTCCCGTGAAGCTTGCCCCGTACTCCGATACGGGGACGGGAATCTAAGGCCCCTCTTCCAAGGCATCGTAGCCTTGCAGACAGCGTTTTTAGATTCCTGCTTCCGCAGGAATGACGGTGGGGCAATTCTTGCGGGATGACGCTATGGGTTATGCAAAGGTCTCCATTGAGGGGGAAGATTGAGATGGGGGTGAACAGGCCTTTACGCAGAGCGTATCAGACTATAGCCTCCCATCTCTCCGGCCTCGTACATGACGGCGGCGGCCATAGCCAAGCCTGCCGTCTCGCCTCGGAGGATGCGCCGCCCCAGGCTTACCACAGCCACGCCGGAAGCCCTGGCCTCCTCCACCTCTTCGGCGTCGAATCCGCCTCGGCCCTACGAACAGGCTGAGGCTATCTCACGGATTGTCATGCTGGGCAAGCACGCCTCTCTGAAACCCACTCTCGTTATGCCATCTCATTCGGAGACGCGGAAGGGGCACAACCGGGAAAGGAAGGGAGGAGGGGGGAGGAAGGAAGAAGGACGGATGGGAGAAAAGGGGATGGGAGGGAAGGCCGAGAAAGTGAGAGGAGGGAAGAAGGGGGAGAAAAATGGAGAATGAGAGGGGTGAAGAAAAGGAAGAGGAAAAAACAGCTGAGAAGAGAAAAGGGGAGCAAAAGGCAAAAGAAAGAGGAAGAAAGAAAGATAAGCAATCCCTCCCTGCCATGCTGCGGCCACCCACGCTAGACAGTCCCTCTCCACATAATCTCCCTCCTTCTCGCCTCAGACGTATAGCACGGTCTTTTCCCCTAAAACATCGGAAGGAGGGGGGAAGTGAGCAATAAGGAACGTAAGGGAAGGCGGGGGGAAGACGTGGACAGGCAGAGTGCGAGAGGCCGGCGCGCAGAAGAAGGGGACAAAAAGGGCGCGAGCGGGAGGAAGAAGGGGGGAAAAAGGGAAGGAAATGGTAAGGGGTAACTGGGAAAGGGGGGGTGAGAAAAAGGAGGAAAAAAACGGAGGAGTAAAAGGAAGGCCCAGGAAGGAAAGAAAAAAAAGGAAAAGAGATATTTTGAGGTAATTAATTCTACTAATTTGACCTTCCCCTCCCAGCCATCAAACGGACCCCTTGGGCAGAGGTTAGGCTTCCTGCACATGTCATCGGCGCTCCCAGATACGGGATCAGTGAGCGCCCGGACTGCTCCGCCGCCTCGGTGATTATCTTCCGCCAGCGGTTTATACTTGCGTTCCGACAGTCTCGACGCCCGTAAAACGCTTCTCCGAGAGAGACACCGGACAAAGGCCGATACGCCAATCTTCCGTCCCTTCTGCCGGAATCGGTCTCCAGCTTGTTGCTCTGAGCGTCCCTGGTAGAGGGTAAGGACTATCCCCGGATCACCATTGCCTCGACTGCTATCAACCACGTCCCCTTCCAGGCGGGAGGAGGATACTGAGCTGAGTCGCACAGCGTACTCCCACCCGGTGTTGTCCAGAAGAGCTACCAAGTC